GCTATCAAAGAATTGTTTGCAGAATTACAGCCAAAAAATCTCAAGGGATTACAGAATAATTACTATGAGCAGTGTGAGATGAATGGTCTGATGGTGACTAAGCCATGAAATACTAAAAATTAAAATAAAAGTGAAAACAATGGAGGGGATTGTGACATTGAGAATTGTTTGAAGTATTTTGCATATCACCTTGGTCCTAACTTGGCATTCATGTTGGATAAAAAATTTAACTTTCTGCATGTATTTCTTCTTTTAACAAAGTATCTAAAGAAAAAAAAAATCTAAGACCCCTTCTGACTCTGACATCCTCTAGGTAAATAAGAGGATGTATTACACATACCTAATGTAGGCACTACACTCATCAATGAGGCATGTGGAGCTTGTAGAACTAGGAGTGTCCAGCAATTCAGTGCAGGACTTCATCAAATGCTGCACCTTGACCTCTCTGTTCTTACTGTGACCCAGGGCACCTGGCTAACAGCTGTAGCATGCTGTCATACCAGCATCTGTAGCTTGAGGACTGGATTATAGCCAAAGAACCACCAATTGATGTATTAGTCTTTCCATTCTTAAAGTCATATGGCTTTTAAAGTGATGTCTCTGCCTTTATCTACATTTTACTTTTGATAAATCATAACTCAGTGGTTGGCAATGAACTGGAAAAGTGAGTGGAGAGTAAATCAGTGATACTGACTGTGACTTTTATCATACAAGTGAAGATGGCCACTCAGTTGGGTCTGAGAGATTGTGAAGTAGAAAAAGCACATTGAGTGTTTCATTAGCACCACTCCATCCTCTGTGTGATTCATTTCCTGTTCTGTATCCTCTCTCTACCCTATTCTCCTCTATTGTACTGAGCTTTGAATACCAGAACCCTTCACTGTTGTACTTCTCTTTCATTCTAGCCTACTCTAACCACATTCAAGACCCTTTTCTCCTTCATTCAAACTTTGCTGTGCTGCATCTCCTATCTTTTCATCCTTGCTAAGTATCTGGCTAGTTGCACAAAGAGTTACTTTGGACCAGACTAATAAAGGCAAGGAACTTAATATGTAAACACTTAACTTAAAACTAGAAAATATTTATTTGGTGCTTACCATGTGCCTGAACCTGTCTTAATTTTTTTAAAGATCTATTTATGCATACAAGAGCTGGGGTACAGGCCAGAGGTGCAGAGGGTAGAGCATTCACCAGAGACACAGTGGGGAGCAGAACCGGAGAATTGACTGAAATACCTGTTGAGGGGAGCAGCGGTAGAGACCGGAGAGGTCTGCTATGGGTAGCTCCCTGGACACTAGGGATCGAAATCGTGGCTGTAGATAGCTTCATAGTGCTGTGACTTAACCCCTTGTACCACCAGGACCTGAACCTGTCTTTAATAAAGAATGCATAAACTCTACATTATCATTCATCTTGAGATTTTAGCCTAAAAAGTTAAAACTTAAGCAAATATCTAAAATTATATCTGGTGAGTGCTATAATAAATATATAGTCATAAACTGAAAGCTCAGCTAGATAACAGTATAAAAAATTGATAAGTGGAAATAGCTGGGATGTCTACAGTCTATAAAAGAGACTGTTTTACATTCAGAGAGTAGGAATGACTCAAGGAGAGAGGTGTCTTTCAGAAAGAGGAAATACATGCAAAAGACTGTGATTAATAGGAAGAGAATGGTGGAATACCTATGGCACATAAATGAAGTGATAAGAGAAAAGGTCAAAATCTTTGCAAATTATCTTACATAACAGTAACATATCTAAACACTACAAAAATGTAATGAGTAGTGGGGAAACATGAGAATGGTTATTAGAACGGTTTACATGTTTGCAAGATCAATGTAAGTGTAGTGTAGAAAATAAGTAGTCACCAAGTAAGATTAATAACAGTTAAAAAATGCATCAAAGAGGCTACATATAAGACTATACTTTCAGGGACTATATCTATAGTTTGCAAACAGGCTACATACATACATGATTGCTTTTAAACACTGAGGAAAATTGTGGTGAATAAAAATAAACATCCTGCAAGTGTTTATTAAAAGGGAAATGAACTTGTTAGACCATCAAATTGATAGTCACTCTGTCAGTGATTCACAATTGGATGAACCTAATGTGGTATATCAAAGAGAGAAAATACTATTTCTTGTGTCAACTCGCTCACTCAACCTATTTCCCCTGAGACTTTGACAAAGGATTGATTTTAAGTATTACAGGTGAATTCTACATTCCACATGAAAAAAAAAAAAAAAACTGATTTAAGAGGAAATAGCCAGACTTTTAAATAAAAGGTAACTATTGCCTAATACTAGTATTGTTAAATGCAAACTCTGGAAGTGTGATTCTAGCAAAACAGAATACCGAGTTTCGTAAAAAGATAAGAAAAACCTAATACCAAAACCAAAATAGAACATTTAATGTATACCAAGTGAGATCATGCATGAGAAAGGCCTTTGAGGGTCTCCTGATTACTAGTTTTAACATTTATCAGTGAATAATCTTTGAGGCGGGCCTCCCCAGTGGCGCAGCAGTTGAGTGCTGAGTTGCGAAGCTGCCCGCAGCCTCTGCAGCGCAGGTTCAATCCCCAGCTGCCGGGCAAGGGTCCCACATGGTGCGCAGACCTCTCCTGCCATGCCCGCTGCTCCCCTCAGCAGTGTACTTCGGTCATTCTGCCTGTTCTGCTCCCTGCTCTGGCTCTGGTGAATTCTCTCACCCTCCCGCGCTTCTGACTGTAAGCAGTGCTTGTATAAATAAATAAATCTTTAAAAAAAAAAATCTTTGAGGGTAAAAAGAATAAAGTACTGGTCATTTGATCTACATGAATGTTTGATCTTTGCAAAAAAAAGTAAATTGAATGAAATAAAACAGTATCAAAGCAATAGAAACAATAGTTAAATCACCTGAGAATTGTACACACCCGAGAAACAGAAAAAGAAATACTCATTTCAGTCTATTTTTAATATTATTCATTTTTTAGATAATACAACAAAGTATTTTAGTAAATATTGCCTCTGTGGAAATACAATTTTGCATAAAAGGGCTCTGAATAAATTTAAAACCTCTAAATTTTTATGTGAATAGCTGCAATAAATTTCTTTCCTCTTCATTCATCATGCACTTCAAAATAGAGGCATTCTTACACTGTCATCAATTTGTGTGTCAGAGAATGACAGACTGAACATTCAGGTGGCTAGAAAAAAGACAGTAAAGAAGCTTTGTGAAATGTGTCCATGGAAGGAAATGCAGGAGTAAAGGAGGCATCTTCCACTTGCCTGGAACCTCAACTCGCCTGCAGTTAGTCAGTCAATCAAGAAATAGAGGGGAGCTCTATTGAGGACATAAGTCTCTTTTACCTTTCTTTTCTTGTTTAAAAAAATGCAATATGTCTATAAAATCAAAGTCTTTACATTTTGGTGATACTGGCATTAGTTTCTTACTGTGCAGCTAGAGTGTAAGAGTTAATGAGAGTGTAAGAATTATAGAAAGGTAACAGATATTGAAGTTGTAGTGTAAGAGTTGCATAAATTATTAGCAAATCCCAGTCAGACCAGATGCTTAAGTGCATTTAATACTTTGTGACTTAGTATTACTACTTTTACTCATTTCTCAGAATAGCAACAGTCAACCAGAGGGTTTGGTTGTGATAACACTACTCCTTATAAAGTCAGGTTTTTCTGAATATTAATAATTAGATAGGAATTCAATAAAGTAACTTAATTTTTAATATTGAATTCGGTACCTTCAGCTTTCTCAAACCTTAATAACAGTAAAGCTGTGTCCCAAGGAATTTAATTGATTTTTTTTCATGAACAAATAGTCCTAAGTAATAACCATTTTCAAAACATTATACAAACCTGAAATGTATTAGAATAAATTTGAAATTATTTTGCAGTAGCCACACATCAAATTAAAGAACATAAACTTTAGAAAGGAAAAAAGTACTAAGAATTTGAAATCAAATTATTTTTCAATGTATAAATTTTACTTCTTGAAAGAATACATTTAGTTTTAGAAATTTGACATTGAAAAAGTAATATGGATGATAGTTTTTACATTTATTTTATATAGTTCCACCACATAAAATATTGATTTATATTTCTTTTAAATTGGATTTTTTTCTAAAATCTATAAAATAATGTGAATGCTTTCATGATAGTTATAGAATTTTATATTAATGTCAAACTAGCAGTTGAAGGTGGTTAATTCCTCAATAAATTGGGAATTAGTCATTATGTTTTTGTTCAATCCTATGATTACCATATTGTGTCCATTGCCCGAATGCAGTCAGGACATTCAATATCTTTTCTTTCCTACCCGAAAATGCATTTAAAATATTTTTGATGTATCATTACTACAAATAAAGAATGAAGACAATTTTCCATAATCATCAAAGTGATTATCTTAAACTACAGTCATATTACCTGGTGATTATTTTGAAAGTTTAGGCTATCTTTTTTTTTAAAGATTTATTTATTCATACAAGAACCAGGGTACAGGCCAGATGTGTGGGAGGGTGAGAGGATTCACGAGAAACAGAGTGGGGAACAGAACAGGCAGACTGACTGAAATACACTGCTGAGGAGAGCAGCAGGCGTGTCAGGAGAGGTCTGCTGTGCCATGTGGGTAGCTCCCTGGCCAGGGATTGAACTCGTGCTGCAGTGGCTGCAGATAGCTTCATAGGTTGCGTCTTAATGCCCTGCACCACCAGGGAGACCCTGGAATTGGGGATAATTTAAATGGTGATCATGTACCAAAGAAACACTAAAGAGTATGACGGTTTTATTATTTCCTTTCGATAAATTAGAAAATACTATAGAACCAAGAGGATTCTACGGTTCTTCAGCAAGGATATATATTTATTGCTAGAGAAAGTTGCAATAATTTTTTTAGTTAAACTTTCTAAAACCTTAACATAAATGATTTTTTTTTTTCATTGAAATTATCTTTTTGCTCCATTCTCAGATTTTACTGTTAGGAATCCAGTAGCTGGAATAATACAAATATAAAGAATGTCATCCACAAATAAAAGCTATCAGGTTAGGGGAGAAAAGATAGACCTTCTACATCTTTGGACGTAACACTTTTTTTAATTGAATAACTCCTGAGAGAACAGTGTTTCTTGTTGACCTAGAAAATACGAAACAGGATATAACAGAATAATTTTGTAAACCCCAGGACACAGAAATCGTTATAGGAAAAACAACAAAAACTAAGAATAATACAGAGCAGTTCTCTGCTTTCCTTGCCTTAGCCATTTGCAGTTAGCAGTTTATTCTTTACAACACAAATGAATTTCCCTGTGCCTTCTTCTCTAATTAACCTTAACATTAAAATTATTTAACAAAAATGCCCTTTGGCAAGGCAATGCAAGGATACTCAGGCTATTCTTTCCAAATTTAAGTCTAAAACAGTTCACAGGACATGACGAGTAAAATCCACAAAGATCATTTATCTTTTAGTGTGGCATTTTCTCACCAAGACTTTTGAATTCTCAGACCTTTCTTCCATTTGAGTTTTCTGCCTCTTCAAGCAGGTCACCACTACAGGCCTGACAAGAAAAGAAATGTGGTACTTCTAATTCAATGTGAGTCTACTTGTATTTCACCTTCTTCACATTCTGCCTCATGTCAGACGCCATCTAAAATCAAATCACTATCGGCCAAGGCCATGTCCACACAAAAATGGCAGTTAGATGTGTCCAAATAAGATCATAATTCTGCTTAGCAATAGCAGTTTACATGGCTTTGTGAAATACCAGCCTCGTAGCTAGAAGGCAGGTCTGCATTAAGTTACAGAATTTGGTCCCACCAAATCCATTCTCCATTCTCTTTAAAGTCTGAAAGCAGATCAATTTCTGTGTAGAAAGAAACAAATACAAATGTTGAACACTTAAAATATTTTTAGGATTTTCTTATTAACAATGAGACACTTGTGCAGGAAAACACAGGATTAACAGCATATTTCATTACAACATTTAGATTGTTTCTTCATGTAAACAAATCTAACCATAATGCAATGCTAGAATAGATACAATATGTATATTGGATTATTAATGTTACCTTCCACAAAATAATTGGTTATGAGTTTCTAAAATGTTGTCAAAGAACTCCTCGGAGGTGTAGCTTTGAATTTCTCTTCAGTTTACCAAGATGGACTGTGTGAGGAACCATTCCACACACAGAGAAACATGAATCTTCCTTGCTTTTTGTCACTCTTCACAAATTATCTCAGCTCTCTCTGTACCCAGAGACAACTATAAATATGAACCCAATATGAACAGATGACTGATTCTACAAATATCCCCCAAAATGATGTTATAGGAAATAAAAAATTGAACTTTAATGAAAATATTTAGAATGACTCAGATCTACTAAATTTTGACTAACTGCTTCTCACTTTTCTACTCTCTGCTTTCAAGGAGGGAATGTTCTTTTGTGTTTTCCCTATGGCAGATGCATTGATTTTTCAATGAGACTGTGCCAAAATTTCATTTCTGTGTATGAAAACATCATATGGCCAAAATAATACATCTCTGTACCACTCTTAGTAACAACTTTTAGTCTATACAACATGAAAAATCCAGTTATTGGCTAGATCTATTTCTGTAACCCCTCTGTGAGCAAGTTGATGCATAGCTGTACACTCAGGCATACATACATTTCTTACATTACCCCCTTCAGCAGAGGTATATCTCTCCCAAAGGGTTGGAATTTAAACATTACCCTATTAGTCTTTTTCATTCTTCAGTTAATCATGTCACATATCAACCCATCATTAGCTAGCCTACTCCTGTTTTTTTTTTAATATTGTCTAGAGTGTTAGATAATATAAACCTCTCTCCTCCTAAGCAAACAGGAAAACTGCCACAGTAAAAGCATTACTAACAAGTCGGCAAAAGGCAGAGATAGGTTCAAATGACAGCCGAAGCCTTTAAAAAACTTGTTTGGGAGAAGCTTCTTCCAGAGTTCCTGGATTAGTAATTTTGGGTTTTGGTTTGTAAGATATATCTTTATCAAAGACAATTCACTGAACCATAAACAGACTCGGGTCGTAGGAGTAATTCTGTGGAAGAGTAGTTTTAATTTATGCAGTAAAGGAATCTTGGACTAGAGCTATAACTGTGGCCCATTTAGAATAGGAAGCAACTGAAACTTGATTTTATGCCACTGAAATTTTCCTTAAACACACTCTTGATTACAATGTATGTAAGAAAAATTACAATGAAAAGGTTTCCCAGATTGAGACTCATCTGGTTTGGGACAAAGGACATAATTCAACTAAGGGAAGGACTCAAGTTTCCTTATAATCACGACACAAAGAATCAGTAGCCACATAAATCTGTTTACCTTTCATACTGGAAGTGAGAATGATGTCAACCCTCCAAAGACAAAATGAGGCAAGTCTCTTCACTACTACTTGAGCAGATGATCTAAAATAGATGAAAAATTTCATGACTTGTACACTTTTTTTTTTTTAAAGAATAAGTCTGTTGTATCCAAACTGGGTATTACCTACATGTTCTGGTGTCAGAATAACCTATTGATTATAACCAGGAAAACTCCTATGCCTCCTTTGTAGAAACATATTAGGAATTTTGGCACATAGATTAATTGTATTTAACATGAATTCCGGTAACCACTTCATGTTTTCTCTACCCTTTCAGCCCTCAGTCTTGGTGTGTCACATTGAGATAACTGATGATTGGTTTGCTTGAATTCAGTAGGACAACTAGAAAGCCTAAAAGAGGTTTCTAGGTTTAAGTAAAAAAATTCCCTGAGATACTGAAAAAATGTGACCATTACTTAATATCTTTCTAGATACTATTTCTATATTGGCCAGGAGTTTCTTCTGTTATGTTCTAATTACTTCTCTTGGTCAAAAGGTTATCAAAGGTGAAGCAAAGATACTCAAGGAGCCTCTGAGATCTTATTTTTTTTTTAAATAATTTTTATTTTAGTGTATGTAGAAGAAAAGTTTCTTTTCACATGATTAGAATTTTTAAAAAATTTTTATCTAGAAATATTCATCTGTATGGAGTTCTAGTACTTTGAACTAATGAGCTAAAAGTGAAAATCCTTCAAGAATTTTGTAGATGACAGATTAAATAATGGAAAGTCTCAAACAATAAAAGAATATTATCTGTAAATTTAGATATGGTAAGGAAACAGTGCTAATAAGGAAAGTGTCATATTTAATATCAAAATTAGGTCAAAGTATTTTATATATTAAAAATATACTAAATACCATTTAGTCTGGTATTAGTCAGGTTTCTTGAATACAAGTAATTAAAACACAACTGTAGCTGACTTTAGGATGGAAAAGAATAGACCATTTATGAACTTCAACATATCAAGAAAGTGAGATCTCAGTAACTCATGATCTCCCTGTCTTTAACTTTTCTTTCAATATGAAAAATCCATTTGCTTTTACTGTTCCTTCTTTTATCCATTTTATAGAAAACATGGCCACCATTTCCTGAGTATCATGACTAAAGGATTCTATTTCTCATTTCTAGTTTAAAAAAAAAAGATTTACCGTGGTTTGTTAAGTTTGGTACAGATAGTCAATTGCAGTCAAAAGAGAATGGTAGGGCCTCCCCGGTGGCGCAGCGGTTGAGCGCTGGGTTGCGAAGCTGCTCGCGGCCTCTGCGGCGCCAGTTCAATCCCTGGCTGCTCCCCGGCCACCGGAGGAGGGTCCCGCATGGCGCGCAGACCTCTCCTGCCGCCCGCTGCTCCCCTCAGCAGTGTACTTCGGTCCTTCTGCCTGCTCTGCTCCCTGCTCTGGCTCTGGTGAATTCTCTCACCCTCCCGCGCTTCTGACTGTACCCAGTGCATGTATAAACAAAAAACAAACAAACAAATAAATAAATAAAAACATGCCTCTATAAAATAAATAAATAAAAAAAAAAAAAAAAAAGAGAATGGTAACTTCAAATGAAACCAAAACTGGAGGTGGTAGAGGAGTGGACATTCTCAAATCCATAATGAATTGCTATTTTCTAATGAAGAGGAGAGGTGATTGATGAGCACATAATCTATTCAACAATACAGACTCTCACTTAAAGTCTCCTGGCTCAAGTTATACTACTCTTTAATGCAGAATCCCTTAAAATTCTGAGTTATGTGGCAGGAGAAATAAAAGGTTAGAGCCACAAACAAAATTCTTGATTTTTAAAATTTCTATTTTTAAACCTTTTAATTTTTTCCACAATATAAGAATTCCCTCCTCAGTGTAGACACCATAGTTTAACTAACACCAAAGCTCCACAAATTTTTTTACAACTAGATTGAAAATGGTTTACTATATTCTTGTAGGTTTTGTGGACAAAAAGAATAGGTGCCATGCAAACTACTGACCTTTAATTATTTCCAGGATTAAAATTAATAGATTTTAGTTACTCATATATATTTTACAAGATGTATCAATATAGTGTAAATGAAAATCAAGTGAAAGTGAATAAGCAACATAGCTCCTAATTGGATATTTAAAGCAAACCTAAAATTTGTGAAAAGAATTGTCATTATTTCCTATGTATTTTTCAATGTATAGGTACTTGACCTAAATTTAACATTTGAGCACCATGTAAAATACCTGTGGAGAAAATTTTAATTCCAGTGATTTTGTTTTCAAATATTTGGGGGAAGGAAAATGAATAGGCAAATTTACAGATTTTAACATAATAAACATTTGCTAATTACTTTCAAAAAGGAATTTATGGCTAAGATGATATTTTTTCATAGTTATATGAATAACTCAAAATATCAGTGGGAGAAAAATGATTCCCAGGGAAATAAATTCTAACTTTCAGAATGTGAATTGGGGAATTTATTGTTCAAAACTTTCCATTATTTAGGCTGTTTACTAAAGGGAGTATTAAATAACATGAAATAAAAGTGACAAAACAGATTTTTTGATAAGCACACTATTTTTAAGAAGTATCTTCTGATGAAATGATGTGAAATCTAAAACATCTTGAAAATGAACTGCACTATTTCAAGTAGCTAGGAGCAAAAATGAGACATCTGCCAGAGAGCAAAAGAGAGAATGAAAAGATCAACAGAAGTTGAGTGCCTGCAAGTTGTAAAATATTTTCTGACATGATCTAGATGGCTTTTTTTTTTTTTAAGTAAAAGATTGAAGGTGATTCTAGCATAGAAAGGTATTTCTGGCAGGAAGAAAATTTCTTGATGTACTCCCAACTTTGAAAGCCATCAGAGTGAGAAATTGCATATCTATTGTGGTATTTTCAAAAGAAAATAAGCCATTTTTTTTTTAAATCAAGGGCTGCATTATATAAGAATGTAAAATAGCAGATATGGGACAGAGAAAGGAGCGTGGTAGATATTACCAGAGATGGTGCTAGGAATAAAACATCAAACTGAGTTTGAGAGTCCAACTTCTTTCAAGATACTTTTAACTTTTTCTGTTAAATGCAAACTAAGTTTTTGGATATCTCACTTCGGCCAGCTGTTTGTTTCTGTCAGGTCGACACTTCTTTAGAATCTATCAGGATGTAATATAACCAAGAAAGTATATCTTTAAGGACAGGAATCATGATGTGGGTGTACTGCCATGGGGTAGTCCCCAGGTATGCACTACCAGGGTCAAGGGATAGGGGAGTTTTAAAGCATCGAAGAAGTTCAGCAATCTGTTGTGCAACTTTTTAGATTGCTCTGTAAATTCACTTGTCCATCCATGATGGGTGGGCAACAAGTCTCCATGCAGAAGACTAGTGTGTAAGGATCTGCTGGAATAATCAGGGCACAGCTCCTCCTTCCTGTCACTTCATTGTTAAGTCAACCATTTTTATTTCACCTTCCTTCAGCATTGCGGCTTCCACACAAGCAGGTATCTTGTCAAAGCAAGTTCCACAGAAGTAACCACATTCTAGTTACTTTGAACAAATGGGGGATAATATTATAAACTCCCTAGATTCCTCATACTTAAAAGGTTTTCTAAAATATGTGAATAGAAATTTAGACAAAAGTACAAATTGTCTTTCAGATCTATTCTTTTGCGGAAAGTACCACCACATCTGCTATTTCTTAAACAAAAACACGTCTTCAGAATAGAACTCTGGCTATTGACTTAGTATATTTCTGTCAAAATTGTCTTAAAACTTCACTCTGAAAAAAAATGTGCTACTTTATCTTGCCAACTTAACTGCCCCCCACTTCCTATTTTCTTATGCTCTCTGTTTGGACAGCCAGGGGGGTTGAATCCTCAGTTGATGGTATTAGTTTTCTTAATTAGTTTGTCTGTAATCACTCTGGGTTTGCAGATTCTAAGCCCCCTCAATAAACATTAGCTGAGATATATTACTTAAGCTCCTGCGTGGCTTCTTCCTAAAAAGATTAGCTTTTACTCACAGCCCTCATTGTATGATATAAACCAGGAAATAACAATTAGAATCATGGTATTTTTGCATCCTTAGCAATAATGATAACAGAGTTGTGTCCATTTATACCATCAATGACATCTCTCTTCCCTAAGACTTTTTCCAGCAGTTTATGCTTACTAACCCAACACCTGATGCAATGTTTATATATAAAGAACAGAGTTATGAACTTCCCTATTCTTAGTCCTTTTTTTAAAGATTTATTTATTTATGAATACAAGAACTAGGGTATAGGCCAGAGGTGCAGGGGATGAGAGGATTCACCAGAGACGGGGGAGGGGGGGAACAGAACCTGCAGATAGAATGAAATACACTGCTGAGGGGAGCAGCGGGCAAGACAGGAGAGGTCTGCTGTGCCATGTGGGTAGCTCTGTGGCTGGGGATCGAAGTCATGCTACAGTGGCTGCAAATAGCTTCATAGGTTGCGTCTTGCACCACTAGGGAGGCCCTATTCTTAGTCTTTTGTCCTAAGGAGTAGAGTGTTCAGTATTCTCTCAGTATTCAAAATTGATTAAATTTATGTTAGTTGAGTATAAATCACTGAATGTCCTAAGAGTAGAAGATAGTTAATATTTTGTATTTTTGTACTCATAACATACACAGCAATATGGTAACTTAAAATTAATTCTGAATATGAACATCAAAATATGACAAATGTAAGGAAAGCAACAAAATATATCCCTCAGATATCTTACAATCTTACCCATATCTGACAGTCTGGAACATACTTCCAGGGAAAGATGAATATATATTTAATAAAACGTTGTCATGTAATAACTCACTGAGCTAATTTAAGCAATATATGATCAGATTAAAAAAAATGTTGAATAGACAATATCTAAGTTTGGATCCCCCACAATCACATTCTGAAACCAAGATTTAGGTGTAACTATTTAATGGGAGATGATTCCAGACAGCTTGATAAGGGCTGGGAGCATTCAAGGAGAGGAGAGAAAGCCAATAGGGTCGTACTATTGAATAGTAACCCCATGGATAGCAGAACTAACCTGTACTGTGTATAGAACAACAGC